GAGGAGGTAACAGATCTTCAGCTTCCTTTGACTTGCATTTAGAGGACACTAACGTTATCTAAGCAATGGACCATCCAGTGTAGAAGCTGGCCATGTTGATCCCAACCATGGAAACACATAGCCCTTGCTTCCTGACTTTTCTTTTACAAGGCAGAAAGATGAATAAAAGTGTATTTTGTATGATGTGCAATGCATCAGAAACCAACATAAGTATGTGGTGTGTTTGGTTTGGGGGTTTTTGTTTGTTTTCTTTTTCTTTTCAAAAAAGTATACATTAGCATGATCAAGAGTTTATTAGGAATATAGTTTAATTAATACAAAGAAAGGGCATATCACTTCAGAATACTTCTTAGTGTATTTTCTTTTACTGTTCTACTCAGATATTTGTCACGCATCAGAAATTAAGAGCATGTGAAATAACACTGAGCAGCTACTCACAGTTCTGAATTCATGGATAAGCAGACTCTAATCTTATGATTGTTTTATCAGCTCTGTTCTGTTAATTGCCACATCAATGAGTTATTCTTATTGTTAAAGGTATATAAATATTATTTCAAGGAACAATTTTGCATTCATAACTATGAGCCTCTCAGTGGAACTGTTCGCTATTCTTTTAATCATTTCTCTTTATCTCATTAATCAGAAGCAAACTCCTGCAGTACCAGGACAGGAACTAAACTTCAAAGGAAGATCCAGATTTATAATATATTTTCAAAGAACACATTATGCAAATTGAAATTACCTGGTTTTCTGTGAGAAAGGGAAAAAAAAAAAAAGGATCAAGCTCACCTTTTTCTTCCAGTAACAGCATATAACCATACCATGAATGAAAGATGCACCATCCATTGCATGCAGTGGTTCATCTTGTATTGATTATGTAGTATTAACAACAACATTTTTAAGTAGGGAAGAGGGGAATTGTTTTCTGCAGTTGAGTTTACAGTTCATTTTTAAAATGTCAGAGTAAATCTAATCCATTTATTGCAATTTCACAAAAGCAGTATGTCAACTGATAAACATTAATAGGGTGTCTTAGAAACAGCTAATCCAAATGGATAAGCTAATTCTCCCTCTTTTTTTGACAGAGAGGCAACAATCCTGGGAAAAAATACTGCTGAATAATTCCTTGTGTCCTCCCAGTTCTTTCTACCTCAGCCTTTCACTCTCCATTGAAAACTACTACATTAACTCTATGTAATACATTCAAGCAAGATTAGAGAGAATAAATCTCTCCCTGGAAAAAAAAAAAAAAAAAAAAAAAGTAAAATCTCTGATTGAGACATTGCAAATGGGTGATTCCAAGATGAAGAACCACTTTAAGCAGTTAAAAAAACAATTTAGAGTACTTCCTGCCTGCCTCTATGTATATAATCAATCCATATGTAGAATAATAATAAATGTTCTGGGAGAAAAGATGCCACAGATTATGATGAATAGAAGGACAAAACAATTAACTTTGAGTTTAATATCAAAGGAGAGGTACTCAAAGCATACATTTTCAAAAGTAAAATAATCACAAAAGAAAAACCGGGATGTCCAAGTTATTGTCCACAAACCTCTTGACAGGTCTTTTTGTGCTTCTAAAAAGTTTAATTTGTACCAATTATCTGTTGAAACACATAGTACTTTTTCAGACTGTTTCTCTATTTTTCCAAATTTGTTTTCATTTATAATCCTATTTTCCATCATGTTTTTAACCCTTCCCAGCTTGACATTATCTGGGTGTATAATACAAATCCATTATTCAGAACACTGATGATAGACTCAAACATGACAGATCCCTACCAGATCCTACTGAATATCCTTCAAATTTCATCACAAATCCCCAAAATTACACTTTGACAGTTGTCTGATCATATAGCCACCCATATAATAGCAATTTTATCTCTCATGCTTCCCACCAACTTGCTAATGAAAAAACCTGAGACAACACAAAGTTTTTCCAGCGTAAATGTAAATGTTCCTACTGTTTTTCCTTTATGCATAAAGCCTTTTATCCTGTCATTCAAAAATGAAAAATCAGACTTGACGTTATTCTTGACAAATCCATATTGTTAGTCTTTCTTACGTATTTTTCCCTATATTCCTTATATTTTAATTACTTTTTAAATATAAATAAAATTTACAAATAATTTTCTTTGGTTGTTGTAACAGTATTTTTCCAGAAACAGCAATAAAATTATCCAACTTATAATGCACTTTCTTTTTCTGGTGGGTTTTTTTTTTTTTTTTTTTTTTGGTATGCAGCTTG